TTTTCTCGTCCTATAAACATATTTAAGTCTCTTTTATCCTGATGCTATCTTTTCTTGTCCCCATATCCCCCTCTTAATTACCTCCCTATTTTCTCTTTTTTAATCATTGTAAAATTCTCAACATAAGTATTGTATGTTCCCCATCCCAAGTTCTTGATGTCCTAACTGGTCAATTCCCAGTCACTCCTAAACCTGCAGCAATTTGTCTCATACCCCCCCACCCTTCATATTGCTAGATCCAATGGACATGTTTCAAGCTTCTTATACACAATTTTCCCACCCCAAATGAAACTCCTTCCTTGGCTTCTGTGGTGCCATTTTCTACCTACATGTTCTACTTCTTTTTCCTGCTCCTTTGTCTATCCCTCAAGTACTGGTGTTCCCAAGGGCTTTGCCTCTGGTCCTATTTTTATTCTATTTGCCCTCACTGAGTAATATCTTTGTCCATGGTTGTAACTACCATTTAGGTTCATTTAACAACTTGGTTGGGACACAGACATCTTTTTTTTTAACTTTAAAATTTTGTATTTTAAAGATGTGGGGTACAATTCAGGTTAGGTATACAAATGTTATTATGCAGGTACCCTTGTTGATGAGGTGTGCTCCCCTCCCCCCACCCCTGGCGGGGGACACAGGAAATTTAAACTCAGCATATCCAAAACTGAGTATCTCTCTCTTCCACATATCCTTTTTTTACCCTGCCCCCAAACTAACTACAAACAAAACAAAACTGAAATGCCTATATTCTTCCTCTTGTATTTCCTATCCTGATGAATGGCACCAGCATCTATATAATCACTCTACATGGAATTGGAAACCATTCTACTATCTCCTCCTCCACCCCTAGTGCATCCATTTGGCAATTCTGCCTTCTGATTTTATTTCCAGTCTGTTCCTTCTGTATCTTTCTGCACTTCCTTAACCCAGTTCAGGACTATATTATTGGTTACCTGGACTTCAGCGATAGAGTTGCCTCCTAACTTATACCTCCAGTCTTCCATCTGCCATAACTTCTGAAACAAATGTCCTGCTTAAAATCCTGATACTCATTTTTTTCCCCATCATAATAAGTTCAGACTACCTAAGGGCATACATACAGTGCCTTTGTGAGCTGGTCCTTGTACCCTTTTTCTGCCTCCAGTCCCAGCTAAGAATACCTCCTTATCCATTGTTCTAGCTATGTCAACATGCTTGCGTTTCCCTTGATGTGCCATGTCTTTTTGCCTTCATGTTTTTGTCTGTGCTATTTCTTACATCTAGAACGCCCTTCCCCCACTACCTGCATGGCTAATTCCTACTCGTCCTTAACAATTCACCTCAAGTGTCATGGTGTCACCTTTTCAAAGTGTGTCTTGTATAATAAGGCTGAGTTTGAATGTGCCACTGAACCACTTCCACGACACTTTGTGTTGCCTGCTCCTACTACAGCACATTTTGAAATTATAACCACTGGTTTTTCTTGTCTGACTCTGACACTAAACTGAACAACTGGATGGAAACAGTTATGCCATCAGGGCCAGTTATATTTCTTTTCCCATTACTAAATGACCGCAGATTTTTATGCATTGAGTTCTTATGCCTGCTTTGTATAGTTGTTCATTTGGTGAGTTAATGCTTCACAATTTGCAGTATTCTAGGCACTGTGCTTCAACATTGTAACAGTTTGCCTCTGAAAACTCACAGCCTGATCATCAAGGAAAGGCTAATTATATTTATTCATTCTGTTTAAGAAATCTAGGAAGTATGATCGTTTTATACATCTTTCATCCAAAATGACTACTTTTTTTGGTACTGAAAAATGTATGATTGGGTTATTTGGAAAATCACTTTTGTGGAACATCTCATTTGCTGATAATGAATGCCAATGACTTGTTACCTTGGTGTAAAAAAATAAAATATGTATGTTGGGAAGTGCTGTTATTTTAACTTAAAATGGACAGATTTGAAATTTTGTTACACTTCTGTTCTCAATTGTCCTTTCTCCACATTTAGCTCAAGACTGCAGTGCAGATGGCGACAACTTCCTTGTGCCCATAGTGGTGGGAGCAGCCCTGGCAGGAGTACTTATTCTAGTGTTGCTGGCTTATTTTATTGGTCTCAAGCGCCATCATGCTGGATATGAGCAATTTTAGAATCTGTAACCTGATTGATTATATAAAAATGCATGCAAATAACAAGGTTTTCTTGCTTCTCGGATTTTGAAACACTTTACTTTGTAAAATTGATATATTGAAACTTTAATTCTTACATTAGTCTCAGCATTTTGAGATCAGTCTTTATTAATAAAAACTGTTCTCTTTTATCAGCATAAAATCAAAAGTGTTGTATTTACTGGTCCTGGAGACAACTTGTTAAAAAGAACATCGGTGTGCAATGTTTTAAGGTCTATCTTAAGCGTTGGCTCATATTTTGATCCTACCTAAAATGCCTAAAATTTATTAACATGGCCATTATAGGAATAAAATATGTAGTTGTGTCTTAATGGAATTAATAAATATTACTTCACTACTGGTGTTCTGTTTCAATGTATAAGAACTATCCTGATTTAAACTTATCACTATGCCTTTGCATACATTTCACTAAATAAATATTGATGTGGCATAAATGCCTATTAGATATGCTCAAAGTTGGATTTCAGTTGAATGAAGTAGACAATGTCCTCAGGACCATCAGTATTTTAAGGTTATGTGACTTTTGCTGATTTCTTTGAGTTCAAGTTAAGGATGAAGTTAGTATCTCAGGCTTGTGATTTTTTTCCTAGGTACAAAACAGACCTAGGTGACTACTAAAACTGGCTTCAGATTGAGAGTTTTTAAGAGAATTGTTTCTTTTTCAGCAATATAGACTGAACAGATTCGAGCATATTTAGCTACTTCCTTTGTGTGTGTATGTTTTTCTCTTATTTGGATGCCTGATTAGCATTGAATGATAGAAATATTCCACGAACTAATTAGGACAGATTGTGTTGTGTTTCTCTACCTCATCTTGTTGATCTCTAGAGCATTAAAATCTATTTAGTGTTGTCATCAGACTGGTACTTATGAAATGTAAGCTAATAGCAATCTCAGAAGGGAGGCAGTGAAGCATAGCAACTACGCTCTTGCTTCTTCAAGATGGCCCCTGGGGGGCAGTGCATAGATGGTGGCATAGAGAGAAGCCATTGGCATTAAAATGGGCTAAATAATCAGCCCTTGTTGAAGCATATTCCATGGTATAAGTGCAGCACAGATATCAAACCTATCGATAAATAAGAAGGAGGCTTAATAGGCAAGAAGACTTTCACACTGAAGTATTATTATTTGCATCAGGGTCTTATTCTGTTGCCCAGGGTTGAGTGCATTGGCAAGATCACAATGTACTACTTCCTCGACCTCCTGAGCTCAAGCAATCTTCTTGCCTAGGCCTCCCAAAGTGCTGGAATTACAGGTGTGAGTCACCACGCCCAGCCTTTATTAATTCATTTTATGTATATAGGGCACATCCAGAGTTTCTGTAATTTACTGATTAACAGTACAGTATATCTTGTTACCCACTTCCTGGTCTCTGGAGAGCTTTCAGTAAACTATGGTAAATCCTTTTCCACATATGCTAACATAGTTATTGAAATTCATATTATATACTCAGAATTGTAGCAACTTTTTTATGAATGACAAAAGTGCAAGAGGAGGAAAAATTAAAATTAGAGAAAAAAATGCAAATTATTGCTTAATCATAAATCACACCAAATATCACATTTTATTCATTGCATTAGATTTATTTATTTTTTTATCAATATTTTTTATTATGATATTGTGGGGTACAGTTAAGGGTTAGGTATGCATTAGATTTATACTGGGAAGGACCTTAAGGTTATTTACTCTAATCCCATAATTTTACAGAAAGGGGAGTGACTTCACTAAGGTTATATATCTAGTGGGCAACAATTACTACATTTTGATAAAAATTTCCCCAATGAAAGCTGGTCACTCAATAGTAAAAGAAACTGCTGGTTTAAACTTGAAATATGAGATCAAAATTGGACACTTTGCATTTCTGTACCACATTTTGCTTAAGCATTTAAAAAGTACTGAATGTTGACTTTTTCAATAATGGCATACACTTCTATTTTGATCTGCTTGCTACTTCAAAACCTAAACCTCTTCAGATGAGATCACAAAAATGGGAACAAAAGAGAAGGGAATGAATACTTGTTGACCACCTGATGTGTATCAGATGCTTTAGAAGTATAATTGCATTTAATCCTTAAATACCATATAATATGGATATTATGATCCTCCTTTTACAGATGAAGAAAGTGAGGCCTCATTTAAATAGCTTGATCAAGGTTAGCTATTACTTGAAGGAATCAAGATTTAAACTCAGTTCTGTTTGAATACAGAGCTCAAAATCTACCTTGCATACATTGCTTTCCTGGTGGTCCAGTGGAATAGACTGCAGTGTGTTAGATTCTGCTGTTGGGCTTCTAGGCCACCATTCAGCTAATTAGATATAACCTGACAGCTACTTGATGCCTGTACCAAAAAAATAGTTATACTGCATTTTCTTGATCCTAAGTCTTCAAACTTAAGTTTTATTACTTATACAGAATTCTTCATTATACCTTGATGATAGATGTGGCAAGGAAGAAAGTGGGGAAATACACAAGCAATAACTTTAAGTGTAGGTGATAGTTCCTTTCCCCAGTGTCATTAGGCATTCAAACTAATGTCTTCTCATGTTAGGCAAGCACGGTTCTGTATTTTGGACCCTTTCCCATTCTTAGCATAGGGTGTGATTTTTGTATATGAAGTGTATATGACGTGATAAGGAGAGATGTAGAATGGTCAGTTGCTTAGAAATAACTTGAATGGATATTGAAAAAATAAGAAGATAAGAATAATACTATACAAGACTAACCTGCGTACACTTTCAAAATGCTTGTTTCTTTTTTGCTTGTTTTTACTTAATTGCATTCTTTACTAATTTCCTTTCCTTGCTCTCTGTGTGTTCTTTTCTAACAGCTGAAGAATGTTCTGCTGACTCTGACCTCAACTTTCTTATTCCTGTTGCAGTGGGTGTGGCCTTGGGCTTCCTTATAATTGTTGTCTTTATCTCTTATATGATTGGAAGAAGGAAAAGTCGTACTGGTTATCAGTCTGTGTAATCAATTAAATCTAGTGCTTTTTTTTGCAACCAGAAGTTATATTTCCATTGGCTAAAGGCCAATAAATGCTGTGCAATAGATTGTTTAAGATATACAGACTAACCTCAGTGAGTTGCTAGCTAACTTGGGCATGAGTAGCACTTACCTAAGAAAAAATGTATTAGGACCAATCTATCTTTTTTCTATTTTCTTTTTTTCCCCTTTGTTAAAGTGTAATTGAAAGAAAAAATGTGGCTTAGAATTTTGTAAGGAAATAATGATTTTAAGCCTCTGGGTCCAATTATGAAAGCATTTCTACTGAAGCATAATTTTATATGTTGTAGTTACTTGTATTTTACTAATTTGATGTTATTCACAAAATCAAAGTTGTTAGAGAATTTAACTTGCTCCAGGAAATAAATTTAAGAATGTAATTAATTCATTTTCATTGGTGGCAAAGATAAAATTTGTTTCATAATAAGTCTTCCTTTCTCCACTTCCTAATCAGCAATGTTTACATCTGTGTTTTTAAAAGAAAGAAAAGGCTTCACATGTTGTATTTAATAGCAAAAGTCTGGCTGTTTTCTCCATTTCTTTTAGTGGCTATATATTTTAACAAGGATGTCTTTTATTTTTTTGCTTTCTGGGATTTGGACTATATTGATTATCTAATGCTTGACATTTATGCTGAAGGATGAAGTAAGACCTTTGGCTTTTTTTAAGGTGTTGATTTAGAACGGGTTATGGTTTTTTTAAGGTTAGCATTTAGAATTTTTTTTCCCCTCAGAGCCTTAACTTGTTCAGAAAGTTATTTCATCCTGCATTAGAGAAACACACAATTTCTATACACTTTGTGTGCTTTCTATATTTCCCCATTCCATGTATGAATAAGTTCTACTTGATATTTTTAATGTATTGATTTCTTTTTCTCACTGCAGCAAGTGCTAACTCTAGAGGCTAGTGGGTCCTGATGTGTCATCAGTCAGATGGCTGCCTAGCCAAAGCTGAACTGAGATTGTTGTACAAATTTGTTGATCTTGATATAGACTTATATTCCTGTAGGGACCTCTAATGGCTCTGGTTTCTGGAGTAAGGTACTAGAGACTACTCATCTCTGTGTCTGCTTGATTGGTTCAGTTGTTGAATTGCCTGCCCTTTTATTTGGAAGCATAGTTGTTGTTGTGTAGGACCCAAATGGTTGTTTTGCACACCTATCATTAGCATAAGGCAGATGTTTATTTTATTAAGCTATTTTATCTCTACATTTAACTAAAGAAAAATTTCCCAAAGATCTGCCTTCACTTCAGTAATTTTCCTTGGATTAAAAGAATCAAGCCTGAACCTTAAAGTTAGTTCGTTATTAAATCTAAGGATTCAGTCCCAATCTACCTCTCAGCACAGTGCAGATGTTTACCACTGTATTGCTGCCATTTACTGATACCAGAACTCTTTGCCAATAACTGCAATTACAAAAGTTTGTTAAAAAGAAAAAAATTAGTATCTTTCTTTACTGTCTTCTCTATATGTACATCTTGAAAGCATATATTCCAGACCGAAGTAGAAAGAGTGCTCAGTTACAACTCTTTTAGAATTCTATAGCTCTAACTTGCAGATTCAAGCTCTCCTCTATTTGCTAAGTATTTAAAGAATGTTTTCTTTTAAAATGTTCTTCTATGAGATACAACTGCTTATTTATTATTTGGTAAAAGGCATTTGGCCAAAATGATGGCACCATAAAGAACAGTGGCTTCATTTCAATACATATTTTTGAGATGATTATCTAGAAGCCAGATTAGTTAAATCAGCTTGTGACCTTGCTAAGTATATAAATTGGAAATTCAAAATTATGGGTCCATTTAAAAGTTTTCTATTTCTTGGGCAGGAGACTAATATCACAAATTCCTCTGTCTTAGATAATTAGCAAATTTGTGTTTAATTCTCTGAGAATTAAAATACAAAATATTAACAGAGGGTTAAAAGCTGCTTCAACTCCAGTAAAATACAGGAAGCTCAAAATCTATGAACTGAGTGTTCAATTAGCTTTGCTTACTGGGTTCATTTTTATGTCAATACAACAGTGGATCAGACAGTAGGACTTTGAACTCATGAATATAAGGATTCATTTTTCACTTAAGCTGCTTTGAAAGAACTGATGCTTGCTGCTACCTAATGTTTTGGATATATAAATTTAGAGAACTAATTAATACTTGGAAAATAAAACATACTGTGGTACTACTGTTTGATCTGATATGTGTGATTTTAGATTGATGGATTTAAAAATAATAAAGATCATACATTTCATGCCACTATGGATAACTTCCTTTTTATTCCATATGCTCTGCCTTAAGCACTTAGATTGATTTGTTAAATCCAAGTTCCTTAAATACCAGTTTTTGAATTGTCACAGGAATCATATGATCTCATAACTCTATAACTTAACCAAGTCCCATCATTAATAAAGGATTAGAACCTTTAGTACAGACACTTCAAATAGGGGGACCTACATAGTCATGAAAATTCCAAGAAAACATTAAAAACAAAATATGAAAATCTAACAAATGTAAGAGCATCTTAACAGGTGTACTTTGAGCATATGTCTGTCTGCACTGATAAGTTATACATATTGTTGAAGTTCATTCCATTCTGTAAAAGATATGCCTCAGGGATATGGCAGGGGCAGGGAAGGAGCTATCAATTTTCTGAAGATTCCTTTGAATTTCTTGTATCCCAGCCTAATGCTCAATTGTTACTTGATTGGATTAAATGACAATACTGACATTGACAAGTTCAAAAACTTGAGCAATGGAGAAAGCATCTTGATAGGCGTATTGCATCAAATGGAAAGTACTTTGAAGGTGACTGAAGTTCAAATATATAAGAATAAATACATAATTTTTTTCTAAATAAATCCTGGGTTTTTGTGGGTCCCCCCATATAAACATACTCTTACATAAGGGACATTTTTGATGAGAGATGGAATTGGACAGTGACTCCCTTCATAGTTTTTGAATAATAGGGTTTCATTTTTTGATTGTTAAACATTTAATAGTTTTTAATTAAGTCAAAAAATGGCCTTCACAACCCTGCACCTCACAAGGCCTCTGAAAGAAAACACTAGCAAGAAGAGTGGTTCTATATATGTTGCTGTGAAGGTTACCATGTATCTAAACAGTGAACTTGGAGGGTCATTTTTAAAAATTCAATGCATATACTCTGAATGCTAGAACTATTTTTAGAATTCTAAGGAAATGTTTTTATTTTCCTTTGTTTTTACTGTCTCTTTTTTTTTTTCTTTGAGTCGGGGTCTCACTCTATTGCCCAGGCTGGAGTACAGTGATGCAATCACAGCTTACCACAGCTTCCACCTCCCAGTGACTCCCAGGCAATCCTTCCGCTTCAAGTCTCCCGAGTAGCTGGGACTACAGGCACGTGTAACCATTCCCAACTTTTAAAAACTTTATTGTTTAGTAGAGACAGTCTCACTATGTTGCCTAGGTTGGTTTGAAATTCCTGGACTTAAGCAGTCCTCCTTCCTCGGCCTCCCAAAGCGCTGGGATTACAGACAAGAGCTACTACACCTGACCTGTCTGTATGTATTTTAATGACAGTGTAAATTGAGATCCCTTTATTTCAAGAGGTATTCATAATGAACAGGAGAAATCTTGGTATACAATGTATTTTGAGTAGGAATGAACAACTATCATTTTATTGAGCAGTTTCAGTGCTATGTACTTTACACCACAACTCTCTGAGGCTTGGGGGTATCATTCCCCGTTTACAGATGAGGTAACTGAGGCATGAGTTGGTTACTTCACCAAAGTCACATGGGAGTAAGTGACAAAACAGACGTTTAAGCCCAGTTCTGTGTGCCTCCAAAAACCACGCTCTTAACCTCTACACATTCTGCCCTTCTAAGAAACAATAGATTAAAAAATATATATATATGTTTGCATTAAATGGTTATAGAAATCTGATTTCTGTACCCTTCTATCCTGTATATAGTCACCTTATAGATATTCTTCAATATTCATAAAATAACTTGAGCTTTGTCCAACCCACTTGAGGTGCAGATGGATGTTGTGGCAGTATGCCTTTTGAAAGACCAAAACCAAGGCCAGTTTATGCTGTACCTCATCAGTAATGTTAAGACCTGAATGTCACTTTTTTTCAGGGTAGCCTCATCTAGTTATTCCCATCATGTATCATTGTCATTCTACCCTCAAACTCTTCTGCACCATGAATCATTTTGACTGTGCATTAGTGTGTTTAAGAGACTAAATGGAACTGCCTCTTCTCCTTTTCCTTAAATTAATGCCATCCCTACCCCCCAGTCATCCCTTGGCTTTAAGTGCAGTGTAGCCACGACACTCAACAATTCTTGCTAGGTGGTTCTGAGCCCCAGTACACAAGTCCTATTCCCACATTTAAAGCCTTTTGGAAAGGGTTTCAAGACATCTTTACTTGCATGTTTAAAGTTCTCAGTCATAATCTGCAACAACCTCCAACTTCCCACCTCTTCTACTACCTTCCTGTACTCACTGTACCCCAGCCACACCAGCCCCCTTGCTACTCCTCAAAGACCCTAAGAATGCACTCATCTCAGGGGTCTTGTATTTGCTCTGCCTTCCATCTGGAAACAGCACCCCTCAGCTATCTTCATGGCTTACCTTCTCACCCCAACCAGGTCTCTCTTTAATTGTCACACAAAACAAATATTTGCTGAAGGAATGACTGGTCATCTTTGTAGTAGCTAAACATTTGCAGACATTTTAATACCTATTTCACCAAATAAGATGCCATCAACTGTAAGATAAATACTGCCAACTACACTGTGGTTACAAGAGGCCAACTGATTTCAAAGATGTTAAATGCAAAAAAAATATACATCTTGGAATTGATATGTGCCAGGCACTGTGGAGAGTGTTGTATGAGGATTATATCATCTACCGTTAATCAAAAACAAGTCTGGATCTGTGGTTATTATAATTTCCCACCTTAAAACAGACTATTCAATATTCACTTTTCATTCTTTTTTTTTTTTGAGTTGGAGTCTCACTCTGTCACCCAGACTGGAGTGCAGTGGCCGCTCCCGGCCGGCCACCGCAGCCTCGACCTGCTGGGCTCCGGCGATCCTTCTGCCTCAGCCTTCCAAGTAGCCGGAATTACAGGCATGCGCTACCACACCCGGCTGATTTTTTGATTTATTGTAGAGATGAGGTCTCGCTGCCCAGGAGGGTCTCGAACCCGTGGGCTCAGGCAATCCACTCACCTCAGCCTCCCAAAGGCGCGGGATTACAGGCTGAGCCACCGAGCCCGGTCACTTTTCCTTCTTTTAAATGCTATATAGTATATAGCATGGCAGATTTGTCAGAACAGAATTTTGAATCCTGGCTCTTAACATACAGTAGCTGTATGACCCTGAACAAATTACTTAACCTCTCTAAACCTAAGTTTTCCCATCTATGAGATGGAAATGATAACTACGATCTCTCTTGTAGGGTCTTAAAGAGAATTAAATAGGATAATGCCACCAAATACATAGTAAGCAATAAATGTTAGCTTTTCAATTGTATCAATCTGGACTTCTTCCTAAAGATGATAGATGTCAGGTTGAGTATCTTTTATCCAAAATGCTTGGGACCAGAAGTATTTCAGATTTTTTTTTATTTTGGAATATTTGCATTATATCCACTGGCTGAGCATTCCTAATATGAAAATCCAAAACGTTCCAACAAGTATTTCCTTTGAGTGTCACATTGGCACTCAAAAATTTCAGATTTTGGATTTTCAGGTTAGGGATGCTTACCCTATATAAATTAAAACAAGATACCTTTCAAATTGTCTAAGATTTTTAAGATAATAATCACTCTTGACCTTGGTATAGAACACTAACGCTAACAATGTTTAGAGTGAAAACAAAAATCTGGAAACAATCTAAATGTTCAGTAAGATAGATCTCGCTAAGTGTATTATGAAACATTAACATGACAATGTTACAAAACCATTTAAAATCTCAATAAGAATATGAGACTATTCTTGTGTTTTACTGTTAAGTGAAAAAAAAAGTTGGAAAGAAATATGCACCATTCTATTTGATAAGTAAATCTCTCGACCTCTATCTCTTTATATTTCTATATATCTATATTTATTTATTTTTTGAGACAGCTTCTTGCTCTGTTGCCCAGGCTGGAGTGCAGTGGTACGATCATGGCTCACTGCATCCTTGACCTCCTGGGCTCGAGGGATCCTTCTGCCTCAGTCTCCTGAGTAGATGGGACTACAGACGCATGCCACAACACCTGCCTAATTTTAAAAAATTTTATTTTTTGAGATGAGGTCTTGTTATGTTGCCTAGACTGGTCTTGAACTCCTGGGCTCAAGCAACCCTCCCATCACAGCCTCGCAAAGTGCTGGGATTACAGTTGTGAGCCACCGCACCAGACTTCTTTATATCTATTAAGTACTTCTCTACCACCTGAAAAGTGCTTCTCCCTATCCCTATCCCTTCTTACATGCTGGGTACAGAATCCACCACAGAAGCATCGAGATTGGAGCCACTACTTCTACAGTTGAGGAAGCTACAAAAGTATTGTATTCTGTTTTTGCATATACCAGGGGTGCCAAAAAAATACATACACATTTTAAGAGATGTGAACTCATTTGTGATCGCTGACGTGAATTTACGTCATTCCAAATTCTGTTCCTGGTTGCCACGGATGTGAATTTACGTCTTTGAGAATTGTTTCTGAATGTTGCAACGTTGTCATATATATATGTATTATTATATTTTGCTTGAAAATGAATAATCAGGCAAGGAGAGAGAAAGTTAATTGAGATAATTATCTGATATAGACTGTGCGATGTTGTTATTGATTTATGTATTTGGTAAAAATTGCAAGTTGGTCATTATTTTGTTGCTGTTAGTGTTGTATACTTGTATTTTGGTATTTAAGGGCTTTCATACTTCAATGTTAAAAATAATTTACCATAATTATGGAAAATGAAGAAATATATGCTGATGAGATTTCCGAGGTTGAAGGTGAATCCAGTGAACTTACTAGTGCTAGCAAGACAGATAGTGATGTAATGATGCAATGTAAAAAATGAAGAAGTTTAATGCAGACAATCTATGACAGTGAATCTAGTACTGGTAAGAATGAATCAGATATTGAGTGGACAAAATGTGATCCATAAAGAAACTTAGAAGTGTTTATTGGTAATCCAAGTGTCAAGGTATTTCCAAATAATCCTCAAAGTGTAAATGAAGCTGTTGGATTATTTATTTGAGATGATTTTATAGAAATTA